GTTTTCAGTGTATATCTTTGTATAGCAAACCCTCAATGAGGTCTTATATGGTGAGAATTTTTATTATAACTCACATTTTGGATGGATATAAATTCCATGTGGATTCAGTGTTCTTTTCCTTTAACACTTTAAAAAACATTACTCCATTTTCCTCTTAAAATCAGATTTCTCAAAATCGACACTAGGTGCAATATAATTCTTGTTCCTTTGTAGGTGATCTGCTCTTTGTCACGGGAAGCTTTTAGAATTCTGTCTTTGTCTTTGATATTATCTGTCACTATATGGGCCCAAGGGTGGGTTTTCCTTCCCACTCACACACAGAAGTCTTTAAGCCCTTTCAGACTAAGGTCTTCTGTTAGTCTTTAATTCTGAGAAACTGATCTTAATTATTTCTTCAAATATTTTCTCCTCCCTTTTTGTTCTCTCTTCTAGGATTCCTATTTACCTGGATAGAAACTCTTCTACATCTAACTTTCATGCCTCTTGGCTTTTATTCTATGTGTTCTCTTTATCATTTAATGTTGCATTCTCAGAGTTTTTCAGCATCATCTTCCAACTCATGAGTTTACCACCTGTACACCTTCAACCATCATCCAGTCTACTGTATTCTTTATTTTTACATTTTTCATACCTAACACTTCTACTTGGCTCTACACTGTTACGTTTTCTTGTTTTTGCATAGTATTGTTATATTTTTCTAATCTCCTGAAATAATATTTGTCAAGTTTATTTTTAATTCTTGGTCAATCTTTTCCAAAAATTCTCTGTCAGATGGTATATGTTATTCACTTAGTTGTCTTTCTTTGAGAGTAATTGTACTATTCAGGTGCCTAGTTTGGTTATAAACTAATGTTTTTCTGGGGAACCAGTCACTCTGTCTAGTAATATATATGGTTACCAGACCTCACTGTATCCAACCTGGTGAAATTAAGAAGAGAGGAGAGTGAGCCCCAGAGCAAAGAGCCCCAGGGACCTTAGAACTCCTGCTATTTACTCCAATTTGCTGGGCATTCCACAGACATTTCCTCTCACTTAAACTCAGGGAGAAGTAACACTGGGCAGAGTCTTCCTAGGTTGAAACACACCAATGGGAGCTTGGGAGGGGAGAAAAAAGGTAGTTATCCCCTATGGACAATTAGGCCATACCCGTTTATATTAATGCCATCAGAGCCCTAACAGATCTTTTGAATAATCATGGAAGCCTGGGCCACTGCTGCTCATTTCTGTGGGGAAAGAACAGGGAAAGAGAGTCTCAAGGCAACACCAGAGAGAAATAACAATAGAACTTAATAGCCTTCCAATCTATCTTCTCACTGCTTCTCCATGCAGTCTTTAGTCCCAGGCCATAGCCACCACTCCCACATAGAGACTCATGAGAGCCTTAATCTCCCCACACATCCCTCTTATTCCTCCAGTTCTTCAGAGTTGATCTTGGGTGAAGGAGTCAACAGCTGGGACTAGTTTGGTAGGAAATGCAAACTGGTTTCGAAAATATTTTCTTTATCAACGGTGTAGAACTTTTGTTCAATTTCAACCACTCATAATCCAGTTCAGAAATGAGACACAAGGGGCGCCTGGGTGGCTCAGTCGGTTGCGTGTCTGCCTTCAGCTCAGGTCACGATCTTGGAGTCTGGGATTGAGCCCCGCATCAGGCTCCCTGCTCAGCGGGGAGTCTGCTTCTCCCTCTGACCCTCCCCATCTTGTGCTCACTCTCTCTCACTCTCCATCTCTCAAATAAATAAATAAAATCTTAAAAAAAAAAAAAGAAATGTGACGCAAAATGAAAGGTCAAAATTTGTTAGTACGATATCGTATTACCATAAAATTTACCCTGGGACATCTAGTTTAGAGAGTAATAATAAGTACTTCCTAATTCTTTCACGGACACATAACAACCCTATCTTCATACCTTTGAAAACACATGTTATTTATTTTTTCTAACTTTTCATTGACCATGGATTTATAAAGCATTGTGTATAAACTTTTGGGTAAAAAAAAAAAAAAACCACCCTACTATAGTTCCTCTGCTCACCAACATTTTTAACCTAAGTGTCTTTAAGCACCACGATACCCAGTCCTCTACTGCAGATCTAGACCATGGCAGGCACTCTCAAACACACACGTACAACTATTAGCCTCAAGCCAATCCAAAACTATGTCAGAAATAGAGAAGTTAGCAGACAGGATGCGTTTTCAACAACAGGCAAGAAATGAAATGGGCCTAACAAGTGAGGTGGGAGGAAGAGAAAGAATCGGTGGACAGTTGGTAAGACTTGGTTAATAAATGAATTTGGTTGTTCCCTATAAAAAAGGTATCAAAAAAGCTAATTCAACCTTAAATTTCATGGAGGAATACAACATCTAGTACCAAGGAGGTAATGTTTTTTATCTATTCTGTACTGGCAAGATGTTATCAATAATAATTTTCAGTTCTCAACACCGCACACCACATGCCCTGGAGGTCAAAATCTTTTCAATTTTTGAAAGTATAATGGTTGGGAAAAATGATATCTTTTAAATTTGTATTTTTCTCACTACTAGTACGATTGACTATCTGCCAATAAAGAAATGCAAACAGCTAATAAACTCTTCTTTCTGAACTGCCTTTCTGAACTGTTCATATTCTTTATCAATTTTCCTCAGGTTATTTTTTTTTTATAATCAGTTTCCAGAAACTCTCTGTATTTTCAGGATTCTCACCCTTTCTCAGTTATGCGTTACAACTATTCTCACCTAGCCTATCATTTGCATTTAGCTTTTATTTACAGGGGCTCTTCTATATAACTTAAAAAAAAAAATGTGTATGTAGTCAACATTTGTTGGTTTTTGCTTGACATGTTCTTTCCTGTTGTCTTTTCCAGCACAGATAATACAAACATTAAACTCACATATTCTTCATTTTTTCATATTTTGACCAACTTTATTTTCTCCTACTTGAAAATCTATTGTACCAATACCATTTAAGTAAGTTTTTTCCCTCTGAACTGAATTGCCACTTTGATAGTATTTTTAAGTTCCATAATTACTTGTAACACCTGGATTTTATTCCTTTTGGTTGCCTACTCTTGGGCCAATACCATGCTGTTTAATTAGAGAAGGTCTGTGGTAATTTTTAATATCTAGGTTTCCTTACTTATTCTTTCCTCAGTTTTCTAGAATGTACTCATTTAAAGGGCACTTTCTCTAGGGACAGAGAAGATGGAACGAGGTACAAATTGTAAGATGTATGTATTATCTTACAACTAAAAAAATGTAGTTAATAAGTGAATAGAAGAGTTTTAATTCAATTCCATACAATAAATAAAAGTTAAAAAGCAGAAAACAATCACATGGACAAATGCAACTGACACATATGGCAGAAACTATACCTCACATTTGAGGTTAATAACAAGGTACTTTACAGTGGAGGAAACTGAGGCACAGGTAGGAAATGGAAGAGAGTGTTAGGCCAAGAATCTGACTAATGGTAAAAACAAAAAGAGAAAACATCTAGTAAGGGAGGAACAGGGACCAAATAATACGTAGTTCACTAATATTTTACTTGTACGATCCCACCCACACAGAGGTAAAGAAATAAATTGGATAAACAGATAAGCAAAACAGAAATAGAAATTGGTCATTCTACAACTGGTCATGGCCAACCGTCCACCTAGCCAAGAATGGTTCAGTGTAGGTGAGGCAATAGTTATGCAATTAACTGTAATAGCTCTAGTCTAAGGCTTGTTCTTTTGATTTTCAGAGATTATGAATCCATTCACAAATAGCAATAGAGAACATAAACATTCTGTGCTTTTGCCAGCACAGAAGGACCCCAAGCAGTCTACTTCCCAATTCCTATCAAAAACAAATTTGAGGGGCTCCTGGCTGGCTCAGTCAGTGCAGCATGTGACTCTTGATCTCAGGGTCATGAGTTGAAGCCCCACGCTGGGTGTACAGATTACCAAAAATAAACTTAAAATATATATCTTATATATAAAACAAAACAAATTTGAGTCCTCTGGTGACTACTGGAGGTATAAATGTGGCTATCATACTTCCTACTCTGAAACCCACCAGTGAGCCAAGAGAAACAAACTTTCGTAAAAATATGAAATAACCCTAAACCACAGATCAGGAAGTATTCAATAAAATATAATACAATTTGAGACAAGGTAATAATGAACATCATGAGCCAAAATATACCTCTACATATCCAAGCAATGTTGGATTTTTCTGAAAGTAACAGAAAGGTCTTAAAATTTTTAGCTGAAACAAAGATAAAATGAGGGTGTAGACAAATTACAGGAGAGAGAGCAAATATTCCTCTGAGGGTACATTCCAATATGGAGGAAGGGCAAGGGACATGGAGATAAAGAAGAGATTATGTCATGTTCACTTTCTCTGACTTCTGAATCAGAAAGCCTGTGAGGGAAGATGCTGTGATGACCAACATTAGTTGAACGGAACGAAATAAATCATCAAATCATCAAAGAGATGACCATGTTACTTTGAGAGACACAGTGCATTCCGTCCTGGGTGATCTATTCTCCGGAAAGGAGGGAGCACCAATGCTTAGGAGATAAAAGGTTCTAGGTCAGAGTATAAGAAGTCTCTGTGAGATAAGAAAAGTGAGCTGAACTTCCAGATGTCCCAGAACACAGCCTTCCCCATACTATTCTGCAGATAATATCAATAATTAACTGGGCTCTTATCATATTCTAGTCACATATTCTAGGAGTTTACAAATATTAACTCTCTTAAATCCTTAAAACAACCTCAATGAGGTAAGTACTCTTGTTATCTCCGTTTACAGGGGAGGTAAATGAGGGTCAGAGAGGTTAAGTAAATTTCCTATAGTTACATAGCTAGGAAATATAAGGCCCAGAATTGAACCTAAGCAAACTGGCATAAAGCTCAGGGTTTTAACGATTATGCTGTATTGTCTCCTCTACTTTAATGTTAAACAATTAGCAAACCAATAAAGTACACAGAATTTATTTATACAGGAAATATTTACATACCTTGTACTGTAAACTCTGCTTGAGCTTCAATTGTCTCATTTCCATTATCAGCTATACAAAAATAAGTCCCCGCATCATCCTCAGTAACATCACTGATCTCCAGACTACCACCTGCCAGCAACACCAATTTTTCAGAGCTGCATAAAAAAATATTGACACATTTCAGAACTAGGAAAATAATAAATACCTGAGAAACTCTCTACATAAAACAGAGAAAACACTTAAAAAGCATTATTATTTATATGGCTACAGAGAGACTAACAAAATTAGCAGAATTTAATTTAGTCCAATTACTCTGCTCATATTTTACATGCATAAATATCACAAACACGAACCAAAATGTTACAATGAATTATCTCTAACACTTATTTTTTCTGAGAGAGAGAGAGAAAGAGCATGAAGCTTGGGGTGGGGAGGGGCAAGGGAGAGGGAGAGAGAGAATATGAAGCAGGTTCCACACTCAGCGTGGAGCTCAAATCGGGGCTCGATCTCACAATCCTGAGATCATGACCTGAGCCAAAATCAAGAGTCAGACGTTTAACCGACTGAGCCACCCAGGTGCCCCTATCTCTGAACACATCTAATTATTCTCAATGGTACACTACTTTTATAACCAATTCCACTCCCCACAATCCATCCCTGCCTCCCAACTCTGCCCAGTTTTTCCGCACATGATCTAATTTTGAATTCTGGAATCAATCTGAGATTGATTCAGGTATGCCAAATTGAGAGGACAACTGGAGAAGGTAAAATGTCAGATCAGAAACACAAAGTCGTGGGGCCACGATGCCTACTGAAAGTTTCCTGTGGTGGCTTGGCTAGGGAAGGGAGGAAAAGGGACAGGGAAGGGAGAGAACACGCTTGCCAGAGAGCAGCAACGTGGATGTGGTTACCAGGTAAGAACCTGCTATCATGCCATCATCAACAAGGACACCGACCACTATAACCCAGATCTATACAGTGATTTAAATCTTTTAAAGAGAATATTTAAAGAAAAAGTAAGTGATCTTATAACATCAAGGGAAAAAAATCACAAATCAATATTCTCATCAAGTTTTTATAAAGCAAAAAGGTTTAGCTGATTTGGAGTTTGTGGAGTTATAATTTTATTTTTATTTTGAGGTTCTATGTCTAAACTGGTTTTCATAGGCAGATTTTTCTCTCTAATCTTAATACTGTCACATTTCCTATCTGTAACTATGCTCAACAAAAAATATGGCTTTTCATAGAGAATTTCTGATGGGGAAAAAAGAGAGGAAATGACTATTATGACTATTCTGTCTGTGCCACATTTATAATTCTCATCCTAAGTAAAGAGCTATTCTAGCTTAAATTTCAGTATGCTGTGAACCTGAGTAATTAAGCTTCCTGAATCTGATAAACAAGATTAAGTTTCTGGACAAAGAAAGAGGAAAACCAGAATCAGGTTTGGTGGCTTCTCTATGAAATACCCTGCAAGATCACGACTCAACTTTATCAAGTGGCCTTCTAATTTGAAACATCTCTATTAGACCTCAAATCCCAATTTAATGTGATGAGATAGAGAAGCAGTAAACATATCATGGAATAGAGCAAGAACTACTTGGATAAAACAGAGAGATAAGACTGGGTTTCCATGCCTCGCAAAATAAGAAAAATTTACAAAATTGAAAATCCTCTATTTCACCCTTAGACAAAACTACTACTAATCTTCAGAAATGGAAAACAATGCTCACGAGTGGAAAATCAGCAATATATACATGTGATACCCAGTTGAGGGGAAGATAATTTGAACTACTAGTTGGTATGGTACTTTTGAACTGGAGATACAGTAATTCCTACTTAATAATTATACTAAAAAATATTCCTGATATTTGCTTGCCTCATATTTGCCATAACTGAGTGCCGGTATAGAAGTCAATCTTTCTTCTGGGAGGAAGAATGGCTGTTAGCTTGGCAGAATTCATTTAACTTATTCACGTGATGATGTGAGAGCTTACAGTAAGATGGCAGTCGAGTCTTTAGAACTCCAAAATTCAAAGATAATAAGCAAAAGGAACAGTGTGTGAAAAGCAAGCATGGTCACTGGACCCAAGTTAGGCTGAGTGTTGCTGGACAAAGTATGTGTGTGTGTCGCTGGGGAGTCAGGGCTCAGTCTAGGAGATGGTACAAAGGAGACTTTGAAAGGACCACAGTGTGTTTCTGGATCTGAAAATAACCAGTGTGGCCAAGTTTAAGCCACACCGGTGGCTTCACACGATGAAGCCAGAGTAAGTATGGGAAGAACAGGAGAGTCCTGTGGTAACTGAGGTGACAGCTGACAGTAGCTTGGAATAAGGTGGTTTTCAGAGATAGTTAGGAGGTTCCATGACAGATGTAGATGGATTAGATAGAGAAACTGAGGAAGAAACACATGTCAAGGAAGATTCTTAAGGTTAGGGTAGTATGTGTGAAGGGGAAAACAAAAGGAAATTGGCTTGTTTAATTTAGTTTCTTTGTGTTGTTACTTGCGTGAGAGAAAGGTAAGCCTTTTTATAGGCAAAAAGAGAAGGAGCCAATGGAGAGGAAAATATTTGAGAAGAAGATTCATAAAAGTGCTGGAGAAAATGGAAAGTAATAAGATTTAGAGCACAAAAGGACATCTCTTCTTTTAAAACAGCAGGAAAGGAAGGGAACGATATTTATTCTCTTCTGTTTTTTTGTTTTGTTTTGTTTTGACTAAACTTTTTATTATGAGGTAACTACAGTTTTAAGAAATAATACAGAGAGGGGACACCTGTATGGCTCAGTCATTTAAGCGTCTGCCCGGTCTGCTCAGGTCATGATTCCAGGGTCCTGAGATTGGGCCCCACTTGGGGCTCCCTGCTCAGCAGGGAGCCTGCTTCTCCCTCTGCCTGCCGCTCCCCCTGCTTGTGCTCTCTTCTCTCTCTCACTCTCCCTCTGACAAATAAATAAAAATCTTAAAAAAAAAATAATACAGAGATGTATTGTATGTACGTCTTTACCCAGTGGTAACCTCGTAGAGTACAACATCACAAGAATACTGACATTTCCATCACCACAAGGATCCCTCCTATGGCCCTTTTACAGCCACACCCTCTTTCGTCCTCCTCCCACCTCCTCATTAACCCCTGGCAACCACTAATCTGTTCTCCATTTCAGTAATTTTGTCATTTCAAGAAGAATATTATATAAATAAAATCATACAGTATATAACCTTTGGGGCTTGGCTTTCTTCACTCAGCATAATTCTCCAAAGATTCATCTAGGTTGCTGCATATATCAATAGTTCCTTCCTTTTATTGCTTAGCAGGAATTCCACAGTATGGATATACCTTAGTTTGTTTAACCATTCACTCAATCAAGGACATCTGGGCTGTTTCTAGTTTGGGGCTATTATGAATAAAGCTGCTGTGAATACAGATATGCAGACTTGTGTGTGAACATGAAGTTCATTTCTACAGGACAAATGCCCAAAAGGGTTAATGTTAGGTCATACGGTAGTTGCAACATGTTAAGTTTTTAAAGAAACTGCCAGTGTTGTGGAGTGGCTGTGCCATTTTCACATTCCAGCCAGCAGTGTCAGAGTGATCCCATTTCTCCACATCCTTGACAGCATTGGTGCTGTCAATTTTTACAAAGTGAAGCTATTCTGATAGGTACATAGCAATATCTTACTGTGACTTTAATTTGCATTTCCCTCATGGCTAACAATGTGAAACAACTTTTCTTGTGCTTACTTGCCACCTTCATCTTTTCCAGTAAAACATTTATTCATGTCTTTTGCCTATTTCTAATTGGATTATGTGCTTTTCTACTGTTGAGTTTTGAAAGATTATTATATATTTTACATACACTTGTTGAAGATGTGGTTTGCAAATATTTTCTTCCACTCTGTAATGATCTTTTCATCCTCTAAAAGGGTCTGTCACAGAGCAAAAGTTTTTAATTTTGATGAAATCCAATTTTCAACTTTTCCTTTTATGGATTGTGCTTTCGGTGTCAAATCTAATAACTCTTTGCCTAGCCCTAGATCCTGGTATTCTCCCATATTTCTTTTCTCAAATTTCATTTTGCATTTTACATTTAGGTCCAAGAGTTAATTTTTTATATGACGTGTGAGACATAGGTTGAGAGGCGTGACCAACTGCTCCAGCAGCATTTGTTAAAAATGCTATCTTTCCTGGGGTGCCTGGGTGGCTCAGTTGTTAAGCATCTGCCTTCGGCTTGGGTTGTGGGATCAAGCCCCGCATTAGGCTCCCTGCTCAGCAGGAAGCCTGCTTCTCCCTCTCTCCCTGCTTGTGTTCCCTCTCTCGCTTTGTCTCTGTCAAATAAATAAATAAAATCTTAAAAAAAAAAAAAAATGCTACCTTTCCTCCGTTGATCTGCTTTTACATCTTTGTCATAAATTAGTTGGGCATTTTTGTTTGGTCTAAATCTGAATTCTCTATTCTGTCCCAGTGATATATGTGACTATCCTCAATGCCATACAGTCTTGATCACTGTAGCTATATACAAAGTCCTGAAATAAGGTAGACTGATTCTTCTCACTTTTTAAAAAAACTGTTGGGTGCCTGGGTGGCTCAGTCGGTTGAGTGACTGCCTTCAGCTCAGGTCATGATCCCAGGGTCCTGGGATCGAGTCCCACCATCGGGCTCCTTGCTCTGCGGGGAGCCTGCTTCTCCCTCTCCCACTCCCCCTGCTTGTGTTCCCTCTCTCGCTGTGTCTCTCTCTATCAAATAAATAAATAAAATCTTTAAAAAAAAAACAAAAAACTGTTAACTATTCCAGTTCCTTTGCTTTTCCATCTAAATTTTAGAATAGTCTTGTCTATATCTACAAAAGATCTTGCTGGGATATTGACAGGAATTGAGTTAACCTGTGTATCAATTTGAAGAACTGACATCTTTGCTACTGAGTCTTCCAATCCAAAGACACTGTAGGTCTATTTATTTAGATCTTCTTTGATATCTTTCATTAGCATTTTGTGTTTTTTAGTATACAAATCTAACAAGTTTTGTTAGATTTTCAACTTAAGTATTTCAGTTTTTGTGAGTGAGTGTAAATGCTATTGTATCTGTAACTTCGGTGTTCACATGCTCATTGCTAGTACACAGAAATACAAATGATTTTTTTCTTCATGGTCCATTCATCTGTA